GAATTGAATTTGAATTTGTTTTGCCGCTCACGCGTTTTTTCTTTGTTTTCTTTACTTTTTTTCTCTTTTTTTTTGCCCTTCCCTTGGGCGGGAAATTGGGACAGCATCTTAGGCGGGAATACTGTGCAGCTATCATTTTTTAATATAGTATAAGATTTATCTATCTCGAGTTCAAATTGATCATATTCAACCAAGTCAATTCATCACATTCAATATATTGCCATTGCGACCACAGTCAAATAGTCATTGAATTTAACCATATTTTTAACAATTAATCATCAAGTACGGGAAAGATTTTATATGAATTTATCAGAATACTCACATGGTGGGCACGCCATGTATTAAAAAAAATTGTGTGGGATCCACGTATTAATACGTGTGAGTGCCCTGTGAGTTTTCTTTGAAATTTTTCTGTACGTGAAGTACCTCTTTATTTTTAAAATGTATTTTCGAAAATACTAGACCTTTTTAAAAAAATTTTAAATTGTACAAATTTCGATTATTTTACAAAACTTAAAATTGAAAACTGAAAAGGGTGCGAGAATACCCAACCAAACACGCCTATTCAACTGGGAAAAAAAAAGTGTATATTTATGGCCGGTAAGCTCCTCCAAACACACGAGTTTTGCTACAGTATCAGGCTCAATGACAGATTTAAAAAATAGATAGAGAATACCGATCAAAAAAAAAAAAGACAGAGAATACGTAGCGCGACATCGTTGAACAATTAAAACAAAAAAACACCCCTACCCTGTTTTTAAACCAAGCATAATTTGTTTCTTGTGGACCAAATTTGTCAGGTGGAGTGGGGTTGTTGACCTCCAGAGATATGGCGATATCTTCAGCCACCGGAACCCCCGTTTTGGATGCCGAAACTCCACTGTTAGACGACGTCGTCCATGGATCAGTCGACTTCAAAGGCCGCCCTGTCACGCATCCCGGATCCGGTGGTTGGAAGTCCGCTTCCTTCATCATAGGTACGCACCTACAACATTCAAACGACGACTCTTACCGTTGCCGCTAACCCGTTTATCAAAGTGTGGCGTTTTGATCGAAAAATAGCTTGTTTATTTATTTTGTTCAATTTATTAGGTGTTGAAGTGGCAGAGAGATTTGCATACTATGGAATAAGTTCGAACTTGATAAGCTATTTGACGGGTCCATTGGGTCAATCCACCGCAACTGCAGCGGAGAATGTGAATGCGTGGTCTGGAACGGCGTCACTTTTGCCGCTTTTGGGTGCTTTTGTCGCCGACTCGCTTCTTGGTCGTTACTGGACCATTATTCTTGCCTCTGGGCTATATATCCTGGTCAGTACAAAAGCTCATCGATCTTTTAAAACTTGTATATTCAAAAACTTTTCAAATGGTTGAATTGTGCATGTTTTCTACTATGTAAATGCTCGTGATACTTGGTCTGTTAGCCGCTGGAGTTTTCTGTATGTTGGAAGAATTTTGGATTTTTCTGGGGTTGCTTTAATGCGGTATGGGTCGGGGAGGGGGAGATTAACTTGTGTTCTCTGATAATTGTTATGATAAACGTGCAAAGACGAAGTGGGATCCTGACAGTTCTGCAGCATTATTGCTACTCGTGGTATACATGACTAAAATATTTAGAGGCCTGTGATTTAGTTGCTTGTGGGCCTGTGGCAATATTTGAATACAGTAAACATCAATATTTAAAATGTATTGAAGCCTTAAAAGACTTGTTTAGGGCTGTATGCACTAGTTTTGCACATATGAGGAAGAGTGAACTCTAAGTTTCAACAATTTTGATAACTTATCTACAAGCTGAAATTATAACTCTGCCATTCTGTTCATTAGACACCTCTAATTTTTATAAAGAGTTCATGATACAAATATTCTTGAGAATGCTATTCTTCTGCGAAATTTTAGCCATGTTATTTTTGAATTGTTATTGATCTCAGGGACTTGGCTTCTTGTCCCTATCTGCTGCTCTCTATTCATTCAAATCTTCCGACTGCCAGACAGCATGCTCTCCACCAAAGTTTCAAATTATTATCTTCTTCTTGTCTTTGTATTTAGTTGCATTAGCACAAGGAGGGCATAAACCTTGTGTTCAAGCTTTTGGAGCTGACCAGTTTGATGAGAAAGACCCAAAAGAATGTAAATCCAAAAGCTCGTTCTTCAATTGGTGGTATTTTTCCATGTGTGCAGGTGTTGTAGTGGCTCTCTTTGCTTTGAACTACATTCAAGACAACCTAAATTGGGGTCTTGGCTTTGGAATCCCCTGCATTATCATGTGCCTTGCACTAATAATATTTTTGCTTGGAACTACGACTTACCGGTTTAGCATACAGTGTGATGAAAGAAGCCCATTTGTGAGAATTGGTCGGGTATTCCTGAATGCAGCTAGAAACTGGCGGACTACCCCAGCAGCAATATCTAAGGAAGAGGAAGCTCAGCATATTCTGCCATATGAAGGCTCTCAACAGTTCAAGTAAGCCATTTATCCTTTTGCGTATTTTGTGATTTGGAAGCAAAAATACCTCTTGACTTTGCTTTCATACCTCTAAGCCCCTGTTTGCCCCCCATTAATTTAAATTTTTGGGGGGTAGATAATTTTTAGAATAGTGATTGATGGGAGATGTGTGGTTGAAAAGTTTTTGATTTGTGTGTATTATTATTTTATTTGATGAATGTATGGTTGAGATGAAGAGAGAGAAAAAATTAATGTAATGGAATGTAATATAATGGGGGCCAAACAGGGGCTAAATTTAGAGTGTGTTTGGTAGGGATTTT